TCACAGAAGAAAAAGGAAAAGAAAAAACAAAAACACAGGCAGTACACACTTTAGCCAACATTACCAGAGGCAAAATTTTAAGGTTTGAATGGTTTTAGTAACAAAAAATAATTTCAAGGAAAAGGGGATATGAACTTGCCTGGAGAGCATTTATCCGAGAAGCAGGCATTTTTCCTGTTGCTCTTCTCTTTTTGTCTCATGAACGAAGATTGGAACTCTTCTTGACATTTCACATCAAGGTGACAAAACTGAAATGTTTAAATAAATGCAACTGTGTTACACAAAATGGAAAAGTACATAGGAAAACCCCAAACTCCAAATGATACCGGCCGTATTGTCAGCCTTTCTATAGACAGGAGAGCCTGGAAGGATGTATTTGGAGTGGAAAAGAAAGTAACTATGAACCTTATCATTGCACCCAGAAATACTGGCTCTAAAAATTCTCCAAGAAAGAAGTGCATTGGAAGAAAGTTATAAAATAACACAGGTCATCCAGTCAAGCAGCACTGCAAATTATAACTGGAGGGAAACCACACAGAGAAAAACCAGAGACAAGTTACCCAAGATAAAACGTTGAACAAGGCACTTTATGTGGGGAACAGATGAACAGATGAGAACTAGGGAAGTAGCAGACCATGTCTAACACACAAAAATAGCAAACCACTATTTCTAACTGGAGAGCAGAAAAATACTACTAGTAATTTTACCAAGCACTATTTTTTTTCCCGGTGTTTTGAGACAGGATTTCTCTGTGGCTTTGGAGACTGTCCTGGAACTAGCTCTTGTAGACCAGGCTGGCCTGGAACTCACAGAGATCCGCCTGCCTCTGCCTCCCAAGGGCTGGGATTAAAGATGTGCACAAAAGAAAAAAAAACAATAGCACGTAAGGAAAGGAACTTACAAGCACTCTGATAAATAGCATGGTTGAAATGGTTATATTAATAACAGCAACCAAAAATCCTACACAATCCCTACCTGCAAAGTACTGACATTTTCCACAAAAGTAGGTATGGAAACAGTCACATAGATACAAAAAAATTATCAAAATTAACCCTAAAAGAGTATTCCTGGGAGTATCACAGGATACATATCACATCACAAAGACACACACACAAAGTCAAACCATATACACATATAAACACTTTCGCTTTATATACATATATAAACACTTTCACTTTATATACATATAAACACTTTCACTTTATATAGACTCTTTATTTCATTTGTATGCATGTTAGACCTGCATGTGATGGATGTGTACCATGTGAGTGACCAGGCCAAAAGGGGAGAGAAAAGAGAGTCT